AATATCTATGGGGCAGAGGGACTTCCTATACAATATCCCTGGTGCTGAAGGATCTCCTTTACAATATTCCTGGTGCAGAGGGACTTCCTAAACAATATCCCTCGTACTGAGGGACTTTCTGTATAATATCTCCGGGGCAGAGGGACTTTCTGTAGAATATCCCTGGTGCAGGTGGACCTCCTGTACAATATCCCTGTTGCAGAGGGACTTTCTGTAGAAGATCCCTGGGGCCAAGGGACTTTCTATACAATATCCCTGGTTCAGAGGGACTTTCTATACAATATCCCTGGTTCAGAGGGACCTCCTAAACAATATCCCTGGTGCTGGGGGACTTTCTGTAGAATATTCCTGGTGCAGAGGGGCTTCTTACACAATATCCCGGGGGCAGAGGGACTTTCTGTAGAATATCCCTGGGGCAGAGGTACTTTCTATACAGTATCCCTGGTGCAGAGGGATCTCCTTCACAAGATCCCTGGTGCAGAGGGACTTTCTGGAGCATATCGCTGTTGCAGAGGGACTTCCTATACAATATTCCTGGTGCAGAGGGACATTCTGTAGAATATCTCTGGTGGAGAGGGACTTCCTAGACATTATCCCTGGTGCAGAGGAACTTTCTATACAATATCCCTGGTGCAGAGGGATCTACTTCACAAGATCCCTGGTGCAGAGGGACTTTCTGGAGCATATCGCTGTTGCAGAGGGACTTCCTATACAATATTCCTGGTGCAGAGGGACATTCTGTAGAATATTCCTGGTGCAGAGGGACTTCCTATACAATATTCCTGGTGCAGAGGGACATTCTGTAGAATATCCCTGGTGCAGGGTGACTTTCTGTAGAATATTCCTGGTGCAGAGGAACTTTCTATACAATATCCCTGTTGCATAGGGACTTCCTATACAATATCCCTGGTGCTTGGGGACTTTCTGTACAATATCAGTGGGGCAGGGGGACTTCCTATACAATATCCCTGGTGGAGAGGGACCTCCTTTACAATATCCCTGGGGCAGAGGGACTTTCGGTAGAATATTCCTGGGGCCGAGGGACTTTCTATACGATATCCCGGGTGCAGAGGGATTTTCTGTTGAATATCCCTGGTGCAGAGTGACTTCCTATACAATATCCCTGTTGCAGAGGGACTTCCTATACAATATCCCTGGTGCAGAGGGATTTTCTGTAGAATATCCATGGGGCAGAGGGACTTCCTATACAATATCCCTGTTGCAGAGGGACTTTCTGTACAATATCCCTGGGGCAGAGGGACCTCCTGTAGAATATCCCTGGGGCAGAGGGACTTCCTATACAATATCCCTGGTGCAGAGGGACCTCTTATACAATATCCCTGGTGCAGATGGACTTTTTGTAGAATATCCCTGGTGCAGGTCGACCGCCTATACAATACCCCTGGTGCAGATGGACTTTCTGTAGAAGATCCCTGGGGCCAAGGGACTTTCTATACAATATCCCTGGTTCAGAGGGACTTTCTATACAATATCCCTGGTTCAGAGGGACCTCCTATACAATATCCCTGGTGCTGGGGGACTTTCTGTAGAATATTCCTGGTGCAGAGGGGCTTCTTACACAATATCCCGGGGGCAGAGGGACTTTCTGTAGAATATCCCTGGGGCAGAGGTACTTTCTATACAGTATCCCTGGTGCAGAGGGATCTCCTTCACAAGATCCCTGGTGCAGAGGGACTTTCTGGAGCATATCGCTGTTGCAGAGGGACTTCCTATACAATATTCCTGGTGCAGAGGGACATTCTGTAGAATATCTCTGGTGGAGAGGGACTTCCTAGACATTATCCCTGGTGCAGAGGAACTTTCTATACAATATCCCTGGTGCAGAGGGATCTCCTTCACAAGATCCCTGGTGCAGAGGGACTTTCTGGAGCATATCGCTGTTGCAGAGGGACTTCCTATACAATATTCCTGGTGCAGAGGGACATTCTGTAGAATATTCCTGGTGCAGAGGGACATTCTGTAGAATATTCCTGGTGCAGAGGAACTTTCTATACAATATCCCTGGTGCAGAGGGACCTCCTGTACAATATCCCTGGTGCAGAAGGACTTTCTTTTGAATATCCCTGGGACAGAGGGAGTTCCTATACAACATAGCGGGACAAAAGGACAGAGGGACTTCCTATACAATATTCCTGGTGCAGAGGGACTTCCTATACAATATTCCTGGTGCAGAGGGACATTCTGTAGAATATCCCTGGTGCAGGGTGACTTTCTGTAGAATATTCCTGGTGCAGAGGAACTTTCTATACAATATCCCTGTTGCATAGGGACTTCCTATACAATATCCCTGGTGCTTGGGGACTTTCTGTACAATATCAGTGGGGCAGGGGGACTTCCTATACAATATCCCTGGTGGAGAGGGACCTCCTTTACAATATCCCTGGGGCAGAGGGACTTTCGGTAGAATATTCCTGGGGCCGAGGGACTTTCTATACGATATCCCGGGTGCAGAGGGATTTTCTGTTGAATATCCCTGGTGCAGAGTGACTTCCTATACAATATCCCTGTTGCAGAGGGACTTCCTATACAATATCCCTGGTGCAGAGGGATTTTCTGTAGAATATCCATGGGGCAGAGGGACTTCCTATACAATATCCCTGTTGCAGAGGGACTTTCTGTACAATATCCCTGGGGCAGAGGGACTTCCTATACAATATCCCTGGTGCAGAGGGACCTCTTATACAATATCCCTGGTGCAGATGGACTTTCTGTAGAATATCCCTGGTGCAGGTCGACCGCCTATACAATATCCCTGGTGCAGATGGACTTCCTTTACAATACCCCTGGTGCAGATGGACTTTTGGTAGAATATCCCCGGGGCCGAGGGACTTTCTATGCAATATCCATGGTGCAGAGGGATTTTCTGTAGAATATCCCTAGGGCAGAGGGACTTCCTATACAATATCCCTGATGCAGAGGGACTTTCTGTAAAATATCCCTGGGGCAAAATGACTTTCCCTTTTATTATCCCTTAGACAGAGGAACTTCCTATAGAATATCCATGGTGCAGAGGGACCTCCTATAGAATATCCCTGGTGCAGAGGGACTTCCCGTACAATATCCATATCCCTTCCAATAGAATATCCCTCTCATATGATTTGATAATGTTTGATTTTCAATTTACGATGGCGATATTATATAATTAAATTAAATGAACCGTACTGGCGCTTAGTCAATGAATCCTTCTTTGTAGTTTTATTGAATACAATTTGATTAAAAACAGCTGATGGGTATCAGGTCTTCATTGAATCATTTTGTGTTAACACAAACCTACCCAGCAACAGATTGCTTTTTACAAACTGTTGCAGGAATGATAGATGGTTAAATAGACAAAATCAAATATGTGTCACTGTTTGTGTCAATCTTTAATTGCATAAAAACAAAATCGGTATACTTTGCCCCTAAGTTTATACATTTATTATCCCCCGTCACAAAGTGGGGCGGGAATATAGGGACGGAGTTGGACCGTCCGTCCGTTCTACCGACCGTGGGCAAATTTACTCAAAAACTGATTAAGTTAGAGAAATGAAATTTTACACACTGATATTACTGGTCATGATCTGTAAGCAGTTCGAAAATTGTTATATCCCATTCTCCGTGTTTTTCAACTCAGTGACTGAGACTGTGACTCAGTGCATACTGCGTGAAATGGAGACACGTCTCAGAAACTACTGCAGCCACATGAATGACAGTTTGCATGTTTATCTAAGAGATACTTGTCAAAACTGAGTTCGAAAACTAGTGCCATAAATTATTTTCTTTCAGAAAAGGGGCATTTTATTCTGTGCAGTGTAAGTCGCGATTTCAAGGGCACAGGGGTCACAATGACCCAACCATCACTTACATTCGGGCATCTCAACAAGCCGCTAAAGACATTGTAAAAGTCAATATTGTAGAAAGCTCTTTATATTATGACCCAAGTAAATATTAACGAACTCGATGTGCATCTGGACTAACCTATCATCGAGTATTTACATCACGTACCTATACATTTTTAACTCTATTGAGCCTTGACTTCGTCGGTTGAATATACTCGTCGCCACGTAATTCACACGTGATCTGAGCGCAAGCTGAGTTGGCGCCGTGTGTGTATTTTTAGCCATTGTTACCACGTTCGGGGATTCCCCGTCTCAGGTTACCGCTCCATTGATAAGCGCACAATAGTTCCCTTTTGGTGTGCATTTTTATATTGTGTTGTTAATTCTTTTGGTTTTAAATGTTCCTCAACTAGTTTTAAATAGACTCTGTGATATTCTAGTCATTGTTCTGTCCTTTGATGACAGGTTTTTCTAAAGTCTACATATATGTGTTATTAATGTATTAATGTATTATTAATGTATGTCACGATATGGCTGAAATATTGCCGATGTGACGTTAGATATCAACCAACTCACTCACCCAATAGGTGTGAACGGACCGAGGGAAAGGATAACACATATTCTTCTCAGGAAGAAAGGCAAGTGACAACAATCTTGTCTGTATAGGCGAGGTAACATGCGTTGTGAATGATTGGGTTAATATTAATTTGAGCAGAGATTCAGTGTGGGTAATGTGGGATGTAAGCCTGAAGAGACGGTAGGCGCACAAGTGTGGGAAAAGCTGACAAACCGAGGATTCTAACCCCTGCTTCATTGAATACGTCTTACTACTGCGGCCTTAATGTTAAGTCAGTGTGGTGTTGTGTATCTCAAACTGTTTGTTTATTCCTTGCAAACACCACATCGTTCACTTTTACTTTCGATTTGAAAGACTGGCTCGGGTAGTGACCTGTTTAAACATGACCTTTTGGTAATAGCTTTTTCCGTTTCCCAAGGTTCGTGCTCATATATAAATAGAGTTGCGAAATCGTCCTCATGTATACTAACTGTTTGATTGACATTGTAAAAATTGGTGAGTAAGTGAGAAAACGTACAACTTTATGGATAAGTTCTTCTGGTTTATTGCATATAGAGACATATATATATTGCATATAATTTTTTACAACGTTGTCAAGCCGAAGTGACAAAGGTGTACGATTCGACACGATTCCAGTTTCTAGAGGTGGATGGTGGGGCGCTTCAATTAATTATTTTGGTTGTTTTGGCATATAAGTCGCTAGGGGGATAAAAAAAGAAAAATCATACCCTTTAATTTCTTTTTCGCTTTAGAAAAAAACTAATTGCTAGAGACTTCACCAGCTACATAGTTAAAGAGTAAAGAGAAATGTCGTCCCGTGAAGTCCGGCGCCACAACCAGACAGTACTTGAGAGTTTGGAACCAGGCGATCTGGTGCAAATCCGTTGCAGATGTTACTGGCACTGGGCAGTATACGTTGGTAAGTGTACTGTAAGAAAATATTAATGCACATTCTTGTGTTTATTTGCTTGTTTGTTGTATAATGCTGCACTCAGCAATATTCTAGCTTCAGTGTGTATGGCGGTGACCTGTAAATAATCGATCTTTGATCAAACAATCCAGTGATTAATATTGTTTTTGTTTATTTGCTGTTTGACACCACACTCAGCAATATCCCATTTATATGTTGCGGGCTGTAAACAATCACGCCTGATTCGGAAAAAACAGTGATTGACATCATGAGCATTGATCCGTGCAATTGAGGGAGATTCCGGATAAGAATAAAGGTCCCAGCAACCTATGCCCTATGCTTGTTGAGACCCGTGAAGATCCGGGCTAGAATACGTCTTCAGCAACCCATGCTTGCCTTAAAAGACGACTATGCTTGTCGTAAGAGGCGACTAACGGGATCGGGTGGTCGGGCTCCCTGACTTGGTTGATGCATGTCATCGATCCCAATTGCGTGGATCGATGTTCATGATGTCAATCACTGGATTAGCTGGTCCAGACTCGATTATTTACAGACCGCCGTCATATAGCTGGAATACTGCTGAATACATATTCTGTTTACATCCATGAGCTTGGCCTTGCACTGACTAACCCGGATGATTAACCAGGACAAACCAAATAAAGTAGAGCAATTAAATGAGGCACTCATAAAAGAACTAAAGTGACTGATCTACACAAGAAGTAGCCAACATTTAGAAGGAACATAGGTTACTAGGGATCAACACAGACCGGGAGTCCTCATGGGGTGTAAAGTATTGTGAAGCTGAACCATAGAAATGAAGTATTTCATAACAATGTTAACAAAATCCGATCTTTGGTAAATGAGGCGTTGTATGAAAGCCCCAGTTCATAGTTTTCTATGTAGTGTCTTTGTAGCAACATATTCGTATAATGATTGGTGGGTACATTTGTGTTTAAAATTGGCTGAATTGCTTTGCTTGTAACATATACGAAATTCAGTAACCCACGGATCTAGACGCTGTTACCTGACATTAAAACTGTGTTGTTTGACCAGTATCTGGCTATAGCATTTGATAGCTCATTAAATGAGCTACTTGCACGGTGTGGGAATTTGTTGATGTTTTCATTTCGATGACGAGAGCAATGTATGTACGTTATTGGTTTAATGCCGGTCTCAATATGCGCGGGCGGTGGGGTTAAAGCGTTCGCTCGTCACGCCGAAGACCTGGGTCCGATTCGCCACATGGGTACAATGTGTGAAGCCCATTTCTGGTGTCCCCCGCCGTGATTTTGCTGGACTATTGCTAAAGGCTCACTCACACACTGTATATGCGGATAAATAAATGTTGTTATGAATACATTGCAAATACTGTAATATCCCGAATAAGAAATCAATGCATACACTTGTCTGTGGTGTTCCACATTTCTGCCATTGTTTAAGGGACGGTCGGGTAGCCTTGTGGTTAAAGCGTTCGCTCGTCACGCCGAAGACCCTTGTCAGATTCCCGACATCGGTACAATGTGTGAAGCCCATTTCTGATGTCTACCGCCGTGATATTGCTGGAATATTGTTGCAAGCGGCGTCAAACCAAACTCACTCACTCATCCATTGTTTAAATTACATTTTGGTGCAGAAATGTAATGTGTTTGCAAAGTGAAATGTTGATATGAAAACTGTCTTCAGAATTAGAGAGACGTTTGTAGTATAATTCACTACACACTATATAAAACTGATATTACGAGAATGAATAAATCAACTACAAACATTCAAAATAGGAACGTTCTCAACATGATCCTACATTTACCCATAAATACTGGTCCTGAAAGTTATCTTCACCAGTACGTCAGTGGTTATCATAGCACGAGACCGCCTTCCTGTTCTACTGGATAGAGAGTACACTTTAAGGGGATAAAAGAACAAATTGTCGGGTTTCATTTCAAACTGCGGCATGGTATCTCATTGGGATAGCACGATAAAACTGCCGTGTGCCTTCCTGGTACAAGCACACACACACACACACAAACACAGAGAGAGAGAGAGAGAGAGAGAGAGAGAGAGAGAGAGAGAGAGAGAGAGAGAGAGAGAGGTCGATAAGGAGAATGCATATTTTGAAAATACTGCTTACAGTAATACTGTATACATGTGATAATAATTATCGTGTGTTATTCAGGTGACAATCAAGTCGTGCACTTGTCTGTAGTCGACGGCCCAATGGGAAGTAACATTGAACTCTCATGCAGTATATGTGGACAGGAGTTTAACAAAGGGATTGTTCGCAAAGATGGATTTTGGGAAGTGGTTGGGGACGGCAAAGCGTATAAGAACAACTCAAAAGACAAAACAATGAGGTAAGTTTTGTTTGTTGTTTAACACAGCACTAAACGGTTTATTGCTGAGACGGCGACATGTACATATGTCTGAGGGAAATGCTACCCTCAATTAAGGATGCCAAGAGCACGATTCATTTTGAAATCGAAGACAATGGTTTATATTCAGTCGTTGTCACCCTTTTCATCTTCTCCATAATTGCCAAGGAATTAAAATTGTCTAATGATCACATGGTTATGACATGTTTGATAATATCTTTAACTTTCAGACCCTTGGAACCATCTGAGATAGTAGAAAGGGCAAAATCCAAAATTGGAGAGGTTGGGTACAACGTGATCTTTAAGAACTGTGAACACTTTGCCACAGGGTGCCGGTACGACAAAAAAAAAGTGATCAGGTCTGTTTACAAACTGTTCATTTGCTAATTTCTTTTCCCTTCCCCTCAGCACTGTAAAATGGATAAGCAGATCAACCATTTATTTTATTTTAGATTATCTTAGACTAAAACAATTATTATGCCACTGCACATGGTCAGACATACAACAGTCTCGTTTGCTGGTTGCCAAGTCAGGAAGGTATTGCTTCGACGTCCATGTTCCACCTAAATATAAAACATCAACGCCAGAGAATAACCAGTCTCAATTATCTGCCACAACAGATTCCATTGGGTGTAAAAGGGCAAAATAACGGTTTTCAATAATTCTAATAAATGGATCTCTGAAAATCAGTGTTGACACCAGGTATTCCCAGGGTTATCATGTCATGCTCTACCAGTAGCACCCGCCCGTTCCAAGAAGCAAGTATTTGCTGCCTAAACTCCGAAGATAAACTCACCTGCCAAACGACGGCGGCCTGATTTCAAAATAACCTTTTTTCAAATACCTAATTCAAGATTAATTTCTTTAATGGAGGCAAACAACAAATTATGTTTTCAGTACGACCAGCATGTTTAGCAACATTTAATATTTCTTTCGGCAAGGTCCCAGGATTAAATTAGTTTTGTCCAGGATTTTCGGGAACGAATTATCTTTATAGAGAACAAATCACATCTTGATTGTTTTCGTTTTCTTTTAGGCTGATCGTCTGCTTGGTGGCGGCCTAGCTGTCACGTTGACCACAGTGTGGAAGGGGTTGTTTGCAGCAATTGGTTTCCGGGCTTTGAAGTCGTAAAAAGAAGGACAAAGAGAAAGAATCAGAGCACTGATATGTCTAATGTACACCGTGGCGATCTTATGAGTGAAACAGGATATATTGACAAAACTGTAGATTCCTGTGGCGAGAGCTCACAAGTGGGTAGCGACGTACACGTGAACTGGGCTTGAAACAAGAACGATAACTCTTATTCTACCCGCATCTTATAGTCCTAACATGTAGGCGCTTCAGCAGCTTCGAAATGTTTACAAAAACTTCGTGTGACGAGTGTAATATTCAAACGCATTATCACTGAATAGTGTTGAGTGCGGCGTCAAACAACAGGGAAACTTTAATTTAAAATTCGTTGAAATGCATTGCGTTTAGAAAACAAAGGATCACTTACAATATTTACAACTAATGTAAGAAATGTAACCCTAGTGTTAGCCATAGTATTTTACCTCGCTTCAAGTGAAGAGACTTGGTCGTAGTTTATTGCACAATGGTCATTTGCATATACGAGAAACTATGTCAGATAAAGGTTATAGTAATTTCTGAAACCAATATTGTTACATTAAATATCTGGCTTGCTTGTTTATGATGATCACAATGATGACAAACTTATCACAGTTCGAACCATCGATAGATGTTGGTTTTTGTACGGACTGTTCGGGGCATATGAGTATGTTATTTACTTCTTATCGACCTTAGTACTGTGTTCAGTATACATTCCATTTCATGGCCGTAGTGCCGCAGTTTCCACGTGACGTCATATATTCTCTGATGATTTAATTTCAACACATATTCATTTTTTCAACCGTTTCTGGTGTCCCCCGCCGTGATATTGCTGGAATATTGCTAAAAGCGGCGTAAAACCATACTCACTCACTCATTTCTTCAAGGCCAATCTATTTTTTAAAAGGTACACTCGCAGCCAACTCAAAGTTGGCCAATGGAAATTATAATGATAATAACGAGTATGTCTCTTACGATATACTTTTGAACCACACATCGATCTCATTGAAAGTCATTTTAATTGATACCATACTCACTGCTTGAAGATCTGTCACACCTCCATAGTGTGTCGCGTCAATGACTGAGTGAACCATATTTCTTAACCACTTGCTTCTGAAATTTCGATTTTACCAATACAAATCACATACAGGACACGAACGTTTCTTCTATTGAACTCCTGTCTAGGTGTAGAGGGCATGGCGCTCAGGGAAAAGTACATGAAATATCCACGTGCACAACAATGTGAAGGTGATAGCTGTCACATATGTTAATAATATCACTGTATTTTTCTGAAACTTAAGTGGGCTTGTCGTTTGCGTATATATATATATATATATATATATAAACTTATACTTATAAACCATTGGATCTCTATTTTTATTCCTTGTATGAATGTATGTAATAAATAGGTTTGCAGTTTGTATGCGTTATATGTGTTCATGTACTACAAAACCAGTCATTTTGAGGAGAGATCATTAGGTCCTCATGACGACATTATCTATTTTACGCAACGGAAAGACAGAGTGTACAAGCAGAGTTAATATGGAGGAGGCGACCACCTCTCACAACAAATTACAAGTTATGTAAATGAATGACAAGAAGACGGGGCAGTGTGTAAGAATCAGTATATATTTCGGCCAATGCATTGCAGTACACACCCGTGAAGATCCGGGTTGGAAGTGGTCTTCAATGACTCATGCTTGCCGTAAAAGGCGACTTTGCTTGTCGTAAGTGGCGACTAAAGGGATCGGGTGGTCAGGCTCGCTGACTTGGCTGATGTATGTCATCGATCCCATGTCTCGGAGACGTGTTCCATTGTGTGTAATGTCAACCTGACCTGACACTGGATTTCTGTACAGGGCAGCCGTAACAAAGCTTCAACAATGCTGAATGCGGAGTCAAACAAGGAACACCTACATGCAATATCAGGTTAAGTCATTGTTGAATAACTATTTACCCGTTGTCAACCGAATAACACAGCAAAAAACTCTACAATGCGACGGCTCTTTCGCACGCAATTATGATTCCTCGGAAATTCGAATCTGGGAAAACCCAATGTCAAGATGACATGACGCTATGTACAGTGGTTGGCAAACAGCTACAGTTGGGTAGTTTGTTGGAGATCTGAAGGCAAGGAAGGTAAGAGATTGTATGTCCCGTGTGTAATAGAGTAGGATAAAAACTGATTTATTATCTGCAAGTATGGTATTTGTAAGTTTGTGATTCAGTTCCTCGTGGAATTTAGGCAGCAAACGGCAACTGGTTGTTGTTACCCTGTATTTATCTAACGCTGAGGGCGACAGCACCAGACAACATTACAACATCACGACGCGACATTACAACACTTTGCCAGCACAATGCGACATCACAACACTACGTCAGCACCACGCGACATAACAATACTACGACATGACGACGCGATGGCACGGCGTTACAGCACTACAACAGCACGATGAGGCGATACAACATTACAACACTGCGACAGTACGATGAGGCGATACAACATTACAATACTGCGACAGTAAGACGAGGCGGCACAACATTACAAAGCTACAACAGTACTACGAGGCGGTACAACACTACGACAGTACGACGAGGCGGCACAGTATTACAACACTACGACAGTACAAGGCGGCACAGTATTACAACACTACGCCAGTACGAAGAGGCGGCACAGTATAACAACACTACGACAGTACGACGAGGCGGCACAACATTACAACACTATGACAGTACGACGAGGCGGCACAACATTACAACACTACGACAGCACGACGAGGGTGCACAACATTACAACACTATGACAGCACGACGAGGCGACACAACATTACAACACTATGACAGTACGACGAGGCTGCACAACAATACAACACTTCGACAGCACGACGAGGGGGCATAACATTACAACACTATGACAGCACGACGAGGCGACACAACATTACAACACTATGACAGTACGACGAGGCGGCACAACATTACAACAATACAACAGTACGACGAGGAGGCACAACATTGCAACAATACGACGAGGCGGCACAACATTACAACATTACAACACTACAACAGTACTAATAGGCCGCACAACATTACAACACTATGACAGCACGACGAGGCGGCACAACATTATAATACTACGACAGCACGACGAGGGGCACAACATTACAACACTATGACAGTACGACGAGGCGGCACAACAATACAACACTACGACAGTACGACGAGGCGGCACAAAATTACAACACTACGACAGCACGACGAGGCGGCACAACATTACAACACTACGACAGCACGACGAGGCGGCACAACATTACAACACTACGACAGCACGACGAGGGTGCACAACATTACAACACTATGACAGCACGATGAGGCGACACAACATTACAACACTATGACAGTACGACGAGGCTGCACAACAATACAACACTATGACAGCACGACGAGGGGGCATAACATTACAACACTATGACAGCACGACGAGGCGACACAACATTACAACACTATGACAGTACGACGAGGCGGCACAACATTACAACAATACAACAGTACGACGAGGAGGCACAACATTGCAACAATACGACGAGGCGGCACAACATTACAACATTACAACACTACAACAGTACTAATAGGCCGCACAACATTACAACACTATGACAGCACGACGAGGCGGCACAACATTATAATACTACGACACCACGACGAGGGGCACAACATTACAACACTATGACAGTACGACGAGGCGGCACAACAATACAACACTACGACAGTACGACGCGGCGGCACAAAATTACAACACTACGACAGCATGACGAGGCGGCACAACATTACAACACTACGACAGCACGACGAGGCGGCACAACATTACAACACTATGACAGTACGACGAGGGTGCACAACAATACAACACTACGACAGTACGACGAGGCGACACAACATTACAACACTACGACAGCACGACGAGGCGACACAACATTACAACACTATGACAGTACGACAAGGCGACACAACATTACAACACTACGACAGCACGACGAGGCGGCACAACAATACAACACTACGACAGCACGACGAGGGGGCACAACATTACAAGACCACGACAGCACGACGAGGCGACACAACATTACAACACTATGACAGCACGACGAGGCGACACAACATTACAACACTATGACAGTACGACGAGGCGGCACAACATTAGAACACTACGACAGTACGACGAGGCGGCACAACAATACAACACTACGACAGCACGACGAGGGGGCACAACATTACAAGACTATGACAGCACGACGAGGCGACACAACATTAGAACACTACGACAGCACGACGAGGGGGCACAACATTACAAGACCACGACAGCACGACGAGGCGACACAACATTACAACACTATGACAGCACGACGAGGCGACACAACATTACAACACTATGACAGTACGACGAGGCGGCACAACATTAGAACACTACGACAGTACGACGAGGCGGCACAACAATACAACACTACGACAGCACGACGAGGGGGCACAACATTACAAGACTATGACAGCACGACGAGGCGACACAACATTAGAACACTACGACAGTACGACGAGGCGGCACAACATTACAACACAATGACAGCACGACGAGACGGCACAACATTACAACACTACGACAGCACGACGAGGGGGCACAACATTACAACACTATGACAGCACGACGAGGCGACACAACATTACAACACTACGACAGCACGACGAGGCGACACAACATTACAACACTACGACAGCACGACGAGGCGACACAACATTACAACACTATGACAGTACTACGAGGCGACACAACAATACAACACTACGACAGTACGACGAGGGGGACAACATTACAAGACTATGACAGCACGACGAGGCGGCACAACATTACAACAATACAACAGTACGACGAGGCCGCACAAGATTACAACACTATGACAGCACGACGAGGAGGCGCAACATTATAAAATACTACGACAGCACGACGAGGGGGCACAACATTACAACACTATGACAGTACGACGAGGCGGCACAACAATACAACACTACGACAGCACGACGAGGCGGCACAACATTACAACACTGCGACAGCACGACGGGGCGGCACAACATTACAACACTATGACAGTACGACGAGGCGGCACAACAATACAACACTACGACAGCACGACGAGGGGGCACACCATTACAATACTATGACAGCAAGACGAGGTGACACAACATTACTACACTATGACAGTACAACGAGGCGGTACAACATTACATCACTACGACAGCACGACAAGGGGGCCCAACATTATGATACTACAACAGTACTTCGAGGCAGTACAACATTACAACAGCGAGGCGTTACAACATTACAACACTACGACAATACGACGAGGCGGCACAACATTACAACACTACAACAGTACGACGAGGGTGCACAACATTACAACAATACAACAATACGACGAGGCGGGACAACATTACAATACTTCGACAGTACGACGAGGCGGCACAGCATTACAACACTTTGACAGCACGACGAGGTGGCACAATAATACAACACTATGACAGCACGACGAGGCGGCACAACATTATGATACTACAACAGTACTTCGAGGCGGCACAACAGTATAATACTACGACAGCACGACGAGGGGGCACAACATGACAACACTATGGCAGTACGACGAGGCGGCACAACAATACAACACTACGACACCACGACGAGGGGGCACAACATTACAACACTATGATGATACGACGAGGCGGCACAACATTACAACACTATGACAGTACGACGAGGCGGCACAACATTACAACACTACGACAGCACAACGAGGCGACACAACATTACAACACTATGACACTACGACGAGGGTGCACAACATTACAACAGTACGACGAGGCGGCACAACATTACAACACTACGACAGCACGACGAGGGGGCACAACATTACAACAATACAACAGTACGACGAGGCGGCACAACATTACAACACTATGACAGTACGATGAGGCGGCACAACAATACAACACTACGAAAGCATGACGAGGGGGCACAACACTACAACATAATGACAGCACGACGAGGCGGCACATCATTACAATACTACGACAGTACGACGAGGCGGCACAACATTACAACACTATGACAGTACGACGAGGCGGCCGAATAATACAACACTACGACAGTATGACGAGGCGGCACAACATTACAACACTATGACAGTACGACGAGGCGGCACAACATTACAACACTACGACAGCACGACGAGGGGGCACAACATTACAACAATACAACAGTACGACGAGGCGGCACAACATTACAACACTATGACAGTACGATGAGGCGGCACAACAATACAACACTACGAAAGCACGACGAGGGGGCACAACACTACAACACAATGACAGCACGACGAGGCGACACAACATTACAACACTCTGGCAGTACGACGAGGCGGCACAACATTACAACACTACGACAGCACGACGAGGCGACACAACATTACAACACTATGACAGTACGACGAGGCGGCACAACAATACAACACTACAACAGTACTACGAGGCCGCACAACATTACAACACTATGACAGCACGACGAGGTGGCACAACATTATAATACTACGACAGCACGACGAGGGGGCACCACATTACAACACTATGACAGTACGACGAGGCCGCACAACATTACAACACTATGACAGCACGACGAGGTGGCACAACATTATAATACTACGACAGCACGACGAGGGGGCACCACATTACAACACTATGACAGTACGACGAGGCGGTACAACATTACAACACTATGACAGTACGACGAGGCGGCACAACATTACAACACTACGACAGCACAACGAGGCGACACAACATTACAACACTATGACAGTACGACGAGGCGGTACAACACTACGACAGCACGACGAGGGGGCACAATATTACAACACTTTGACATCACGATGAGGCGACACAACATTACAACACTCTGGCAGTACGACGAGGCGGCACAACATTACAACACTACAACAGTACTACGAGGCCGCACAACATTACAACACTACGACAGTACGACAAGGCGGTACAACATTACAACACTACAACAATACTACGAAGCGGTACAGCATTACAACACTACGACTGCACGCCTTACAACAATGTAGCGTTTAACAATCAGATTTCTGCACACAAACACCCATTTAACGTACACTAACAACGTACAGACCTAGACTGGAAGCTGGCACAAGACCATGGAACATCGTCTTCCTTAACGACATAGACGTTGCAACTCAGTTTCTAAACTAAACCACAGTTTGTGGGATATTTTCTATCAGGTAGGATTGGTTCCTGAAACCGAGATGGTATAGAGAGTCGACTAAACAGATCAGACTTTGTTGACTGCGGTGTGGCGTGTGGAAAATGCTATCAATGCTGGTTTGTTAGGTCGCCATGATATGTTTGTAATGAACGGCGTCAATCGATACTTATTAACTGTTAGTGGAGCCGCAGAGGCCTGAAAAGTGGCTAAGCTTTTGAGATACCCAAAACAGCATAACAATTTAAGCTCTATCACTGCTGTTATGTGTGTATGTGATGCTGTCACACCATGGAATCTTGTGCATAGTATTATTCATAACGCCTTTCGTTTTACAGCGTGGCATTCTCACAGAAAACAGAACACTGAAAATGGCGATGGCGTCGACCCAAGGCCACAACGACTCCGTGTTGTCGAGCTTGGAGCCCGGTGACCAGGTGGAGTTTGAGAGGGGAATTTACTCTCATTGGGGCGTGTATATTGGTAGGCTGGTCCAAATATTTATGGATTCTCTTTGACACATTTTAAGAAGCATAAATTACCAATCCGTATCCCAACTGTACATATGGCTTCATTACCCGTGTGCTTCATCACCTGTGTGCTACTTGCTATTCTTACTGTACATTTTAATTCATTACCTGTGTGCTAATTGCTATTCCTACTGTACATTTGAATACATTACCCGTGTGCTTCATCACCTGTGCGCTACATGCTATTCTCACTGTACATCTGGCTTCATTACCTGTGTGCTTCATCACCTGTGTGCTACTTGCTATTCCTACTGTACATTTGACATCATTACCCGTGTGCTTCATCACCTGTGTGCTACTTGCTCTTCTTACTGTACATCTGGCTTCATTACCCGTGTGCTTCATCACCTGTCTGCTACTTGCTGTTCCTACTGTACATTTGACTTCATTACTCGTGTGCTTCATCACCTGTGTGCTACTTGCTGTTCCTACTGTACATTTTGCTTCATTACCTGTGTGCTTCATCACCTGTGTGGTACTTGTTCTTCTTACAGTACATATGGCTTCATTGCCCGCGTGCTTCATCGCCTGTGTGCTGCTTGCTCTTCTTACTGTACATATGGCTTCATTACCCGTGTGCTTCATCACCTGTGTGCTACTTGCTCTTCTTACTGCACATCTGACTTCATTACCTGTGTGCTTCATCGCCTGTGTGCTACTTGCTCTTCTTACTGCACATCTGATTTCATTACCCGTGTGCTTCATCCCCTGTCTGCTACTTGCTCTTCTTACTGCACATCTGACTTCATTACCCGTGTGCTTCATCACCTGTGTGCTACTTGCTCTTCTTACTGCACATCTGACTTCATTACCTGTGTGCTTCATCGCCTGTGTGCTACTTGCTCTTCTTACTGCACATCTGACTTCATTACCCGTGTGCTTCATCGCCTGTGTGCTACTTGCTCTTCTTACTGCACATCTGACTTCATTACCCGTGTGCTTCATCACCTGTGTGCTACTTGCTCTTCTTACTGCACATCTGACTTCATTACCTGTGTGCTTCATCACCTGTGTGCTACTTGCTCTTCTTACTGCACATCTGACTTCATTACCCGTGTGCTTCATCGCCTGTGTGCTACTTGCTCTTCTTACTGCACATCTGACTTCATTACCCGTGTGCTTCATCGCCTGTGTGCTACTTGCAATTCTTACTGTACATCTGGCTTCATTACCCGTGTGCTTCATCGCCTGTGTGCTACTTGCAATTCTTACTGTACATCTGGCTTCATTACCCGTGTGCTTCATCACCCTAGCGAGAACTAAGATCTGATTTTTTAATGAGATTGATCGGTCTTTTTCTAGTATGTATTGGAGACTGTCAAAAATTCAGGGGTGGTTGAAGTAAAGTACGCTTCTTATGCTTGAATCCTGTATCCTGATATTCTATCGAGACACCATTTTCATATTTGGAGCATCCAAGGGTTTCCATGATCTACTGCTAACATAAATTTCCTTGTAAATGTCATTTCTCACCAGGGTTATTAATAATACAGTGTACATTGTAAGATCAGAATCCATTAGCCATTGTCACCGCCCGCTAACCGTACAAGAATTCCATTCCAGTCTCGAATTTTAGACAGGGATGTGATACGTCGGAACATCTGTCTTCCAGGTGATGGTTACGTGATCCACCTGGCAAGCGTTGATGGTCAGAGCTTCAACAAGACTGAGAAAGCCGTTGTCCGAAAAGACAAAATCAAGGATGTTGCTAAGAATTGCAGGATAAACAAGAACAATTCAAAGAAGGAGAAACACAGGCTAAAGTAATAACAACACTCCCTCCCCACTACGCTTCGTCATCATTGTGATAGAATCCTCGACCAGGGAACCCAGCTATTGTAATCCAAAACGGATGTTAAAGCATTTTTCTTCATTCAATCTTTTACACATAGATAGGAAGACAGACAGACAGACCGATGCGTGACTATCATTGGCATTAACAATTGCGACAGGGGTCCACCCGGCTTATTTCTCCCTCTCACTATATCATCTCCTGGGCAGCGGTGGAGTAGTGATACTTGATGTTATTCACAGCGTGATACCTTATCCTATAGTCCGTATAACATGCCGGTCATCTCTGAAGATAATAGAAATAAGGTATACATTTTGAGTTAAAGACAGTAGCAAATGTAAACCACGTGCTGTCCAATGTACGTATGACTACATTTCTTGATAGTTTGTTCCCATTTTCAGAGCCTACAGCAAATCCGAGATCGTGAAGAGAGCCTCAAGCCAGCTTGGCAGAACAGGGTATAATCTGATTGCCAGCAACTGTGAGCATTTCGTCTCGTGGTGCTGCTACGACATTGAAATAAGTGACCAGGTAGGAATGTGTAGCTTTGCGATGAGCTCTTTGTTCTTTCTTCTACACTTCTGTCATTAGCTCAACTGATGGTGGGAGCGGTGGGATTCAATGGTCCACGAGGTTAAAATATGTGAAGCTCATGACGATATACGGGAAATACCGATGATATAATTTTGGTCATGTATTTGTTATTATATATGCTCCAAAGAATTAAAATCTGAAAAGTTGCTATATTGACTTTACCTGCCCTTTGAGGAAACCGTGTGTAATATATCAATAAATATAATGTCAGTAGCCTCGTTTCTGAAATAGTTCAACAAAAATTCATCGATCTAAAACAATGTATAACCTGCTAACAGTATTAACAACACCAGAAGCCACACACATACCCAAAGTTGAGCACAAATACAAACGAATATGTAGTGATATATTCCTTTTGATCAGGAATGTGTAAGTGTATTCTTGATAAAGGTATATTTTTATCATTGTAGGTGACAGAAGGTTTTGAACTGACGAGGAAGGCGGCTGACATGTTCATCAACTGGTTACTGGAAAAGAGTGAATAACAAGAAAGCGAAAAACGGAAGTCTTGAAAGTTTGTTCAAGTGTTTACAGACTAAAGACTTCTACGATAACCAGTGTACTTCAGTTGGTTGGTATGTTTGTTGTTTAACGCCGCACTCAGCAATATTCCAGCTATATGACGGCGGTCTGTAAATAATCGAGTCTGGACCAGACAATCCAGTGATTAATATCATGAGCATCGATCCACGCAATTTGGATCGATGACATGTATCAACTAAGTCAGCGAGCCTGACCACCCGATCCCGTTAGTCGCCTTTTACGACAAGCATAGTCGCCCTTTACGGCAAGCATGGGTTGCTGAAGACCTATTCTACCCCGGAATCTTCACGGGTCCAGTGTACTTCAGACAACAAACAAATAACTTCTATTCTTGAGGTGCCTGCTTTTGTCTTGTATGAAACGGCGAGACATACTTAGAATTAATTTCAACAGGAACTTTTACCTGATCAGTATATATATGAATACAAGTGGTACACAATTAGAAAGTGAATGTTGCTTAACGCGACAGTCAGTAATATTCAATTTATATCACAACGACTAATTGAAATTGAATCTGCATCAGCCAATACATGACACAAAAGCAACTTTCCACAACTTTTGCACAAATCATGACAGCTCATTGTGTCACAACATTGTAACATACGCTGACAGAGTATGTGGCTAATATTTCAAGAAATGATGATTAATTTTAAATTGATTTTGTATATTTTATTTTATTGCATTTTCCTTCCTCAAAACAATTGAAATACAGAACCCTTGACTCCATTTTTATGCAGAATAAGAGTTGCCTGTCTCTCTCCAGTATGACTGGCAGCGTCTGTAATGTTGACAATAAACTAGGGTAAATTTTATTGAAGTGAATATGTGCCTATTTTGTGTTGCTTAACGGCACTGTTGAGTTATAAAAGTAGCATGTACCATAAGGTAATTTTGGCATAAGATTTGCTAGTTGTTACAACTAACAATACACTTTGTGTTGAACTGTGAGAGGATCAAGCGAGTTATACACAACCACACGTAATAAAAGCACAGAAAACCCTCTCATTCGTATTTAAATTTTCAACCAACACCTCACAGGCGTGTTTTATTCTTTAGATATATACTGTGAAACATTGCACCAATTTCCGTACGACTACTTGTTAAAGGGATACCCATGATTCGTTAATTTGAACATTTCTGAATCTGGACAAATTCACTAGTAACGGTAGTTCCAGGGTTCAACTCTACCAAAAGTATCAAACGTATTGACTTAAAGCAGATGCTGGACATGGTGACAAGTCAGCAGTATCATCATGCCCCAGTGCTGATGGCAGCGGTGATGGCGTGACACTTTGATCTACCTCTTCTAGTTGCTCGTGGTTTATGACCAAATCTCAGGTGAACCTTGGCTCTTCCCAAGTCGAACTTTATCTGACTTGGAGTTGGAGTTCCCACATTAGAACGCTGTTACAAGGGGTGTGAAAACACCCTAAAACAGTCCAGTGGAAAGGTCTTCCAGGATGTTCATTCCACTGGCGTCTTGGAGCAAAACCAAGGCATATTGACTCAGACCGACAATTATGCATGCATGCCAACATGCAAGATTTGATCCTCATTATGCTTTATTTGTTTTGTTTGTTTATTTGTTGTTTAACGCCGTACTCTGCATGATCCAGCTATATGATGGCGGTCTGTATATAATCAAGTCTGGACCAGACAATCCAGTGATTGACGTCATGAGCATCAACCAAATCAGCAAGCCTGAGCACCCGATCGACAATTTCTACTGGACAACGTATGCTGTTTGATGTTTCCAGAGTACATTCACTGTACAGGCTCTGCACTGCCCCTTTCTCTTGCAATTGGCCAGGGAAAATGGTGACAGTTGATGATTAATGGCCAGTGGTTCTCTCCAGTTGACCAAGCATTTTTGATTCCCCAAAATGAGAACTTAATAGCTTAACACTAATAAATGTACTCATAAACAAATATATAAGTTGATATCAAAGTTCATTAACTTTCTAAAATTGTTTTGTATTTGATTTGTTTGTTTGTTGTTTACCTCCACACTCAGCAATATTCCAACTATATGACGGCGGTCTGTAAATAATAGAGTCTGGACCAGACATTGCAGACATCATAAGCACCGATCCATGCAATTGGGATCGATGACATGCTTCAACCTAGTCAGCGAGGCTGACCACTCGATCCGTTAGTCGCCTTTTACGACAAGCATAGTCGCCTTTTACGGCAAGCATGGGTTGCTGAAGCCCTGTTCTACCCCGGATCTTCACGGGTCTCATCAAATTGTATTGCTGGTCATAAGAGATGACTTATTGGTTAGGGTTTCGGTGACATGGTTGATGGAATGTCATCGTACCTCGACGGTGTGGGACGTTAAGCGATTCGATTATTTATATGTCGCAGCATGCAGCTGGTATATTGTATTGAAGAGTGCTACGTAAAACGATATTTATTTCCTCACGCACTCACTAATTGAATTGAAGAGTTTTCGAGGTGTTCGAGAAAAGGTGAGCGTATCCCGCCCCACCGGTGGCACCCGTCACAAACACATGCTAAGGCAAGACAATTGTTAACCTGAAACAAAAACACGAGAACATAGGGTAAAAGTCAATATAGGGAATTGCATCGGACTTCGTCATCTTTTTCACTGACATGTCCCCCACTTGTCTACCATAAACGTTTACCGAGGCCTTGAATGTTGTAACCTTGCTCAAACATGATCTGAGCAAGGGTTTTATGGCGCAGTTTGAAATGCCTTTTTAATTACACACGTCAATGTTACCCAGGTCACAATCACTCAGATAGACTGAAAACAACAAAGAATTTGGGTCACATCAGTTTATGTTTCATAAAACATGGTTGACAAAGATACATCATGTTTATACATGTTTATGCTTCATGTTTTCAACTTGGTGTGTCGCAACGGATAAAATATCAACACTCATTAACTATACTAGGCATACAATAAAGTATTATAATACCCAACTAGTTCTTGGTTACTTATATTTTCAATGTCAACATTAGATGACAAGACCCATCAACACAACTTGCACAATCAACTTTCAAGAAACCATAAAAGATAAATCCATGCATTAATGGTAACCATAACACCAGTAAGATGCTAAATTTCCATACTGTATTACAACATTGCGTTAATCATCAAATACTCTGTAAATGTGAACTAATTATATATTTGCATATTTTCTGTGTGAAAATAAACCTTAATGAATTATACTCCCAATAGTTTGTTATTACAAATGAAAACTAAGAAATTACAGATTATCTTACAAATGAGTATTGAGTCAAACTGCATTACATTGTGAAGGGTCGTAAAATCAGTGTGTAAACAAGACACACGAACTACCTCCCTTTAACTGAGACAGATGCCATGCTATGAAATGGGATGTGCTGTAACTTATACTGGTTCAGCTCAATTATGATGTTTTAATGCAGAAAAGTTATGTTTACAATGATTATGCTATATGCTTGAAGTGTGTTCTTACAAAATATACAACTAAAGTATGCCAAACGATGTACATGAAAATGTGTGAGGTCACGTAAAAGTCAACTAACGGGATCGGGTGGTCAGGCTCGCTGACTTGGTTGATGCATGTCATCGATCCCAATTGCGTGGATCGATGCTCATGATATTAATCACTGGATTGTCTGGTCCAGACTCGATTATTTACAGACCGCCGTCATATAGCTGGAATATTGCTGAGTGCGGCGTTAACAACAAACCAACCAACCAACCAACCAACGTGACCTCAAATATGAACGATCAGCGAGGTGTGGACAAATAGTGCTTTTTATCCTTACTTTTGCTTGAAAACATTGCCTGAGGAGTGTGTGTACATGTTTGACAGCGATACACATCATTTATAACTGTGTGAGTACTAAAACGACAACTGACCTTGGCTGTCCTTCGCTACCATGTCGTCCGTGAACACTGACTGGGCGAAGCGTTATCGTTCAGCAAGTAATTATCTAATTACAACATTACCAATATAGCCAAATATGGTTATTTCAAATCTACATGTTCTTATCTACATAATTACATATGTTGTGGTCTTATCTCGACCGTTAATTATCATACATACCTGAAAACAACAAATAATTTTGGTCACATCAGTTTATGTTTCATAAAGCATAGCTGACAAAGATACGTCAGCCAATGACGTAAGCGCATTCAATTTGACAGTGCGCTACGCGACACAACTTCCAGAGGACTGACAGAGGGATTTCCCTTAGATCGTGGACGAGACACTCAACAAGTATTTACTTACACCTTTGAAAACACGGAATATATTACACAGGGGATGCAAATGTTAACTGAATGCACTTACAATGGGTGAAAAGTACTATATACAACACCAACTTCATCAAGGGCTGGAACATAAAGAATTCACATGTCACATAGGAGGCCAGAGGGTGTTCAAGGGGAGTGCAGAGAGGGTCGGGGTAGTTGATATTGAGCACAGACTATGGAGATCATATAACAGAGCAAACCCACTGTGTAAGTCAAGTGAGTAAGTGAGTTAATATTTAACGTCACATCGGCAATAGTTCAGCCATATCGTGACGAGAATTAATACATTAATAACATATAAGTATATAAACTTTATAAAAACCTGTCATCAAAGGACAGTACAATAACTAGAATATCACAGAGTGCTTAAAAAATAGTTGAGGAACATATAAAAGCAGCAAGAAATAACAACAGGTAGATCACCATGCTAGGGTCCATGGGGACTTACAGTACTTTTGCTACCTGGATGGACCCCAGCCGGATTTACATCATCCCTTCCGCTGTTGGCGATTAATGACAAATCCAGCCAGAATAAATGAACATATATACTACGTCTAAAAACGAGCAGAAATAAACATACTTTGAAAGACGTGGCCTTACATACCCTCTCAGGGGGACAATAATTTTACACTACTTTAACCCCCTTCAAGGATATAGCCACTAACAATCTCAGTTACTGAATAATTCTACCAATTATAAAAGTTATTTATTTAATTACAAAATATAACAATCAAAATTTATGCAGTAATTGGATTTCCTTTAAAAAACCAAGAATTAAAAGACTACCTACCTGATAAAAAAAGATCCTTGATACATGATACCTTGAAAAAGTCAAGAGGTGCATTCTGGTAACACGGATGTCAACCGTGACTCAAGGGCTGCCTGCTGAACCCTGCAGTAGACCACACATTTAGGCCAGCTCCGGGGGTTCCTAAATGGAAAGCGAGTCACATTAATAGATAAAACTGATTTCAAATATTAACTCGAGTCGCAAAGCTGAGAATTACACCAAGATTGATTTAGGATTGCCTTTATGTAACTATATATATATATAAATATGACTTATTTCAGTATTTTTAATTAACCCGTGATTCCGGGGTAGAATAGGTCTTCACCAACCCATACTTGCCGTAAAAGGCGACTATGCTTGTCGTAAAAGGCGACTAACGGGATCGGGTGGTCAGGCTCTGACTTGGTTGATACATGCCATCGATCCCAATTGCGTGGGTCGATGCTCATGATGTCAATAACAGGACTGTCAGATCCAGACTCGATTATTTTACAGACCGCCGTCATATAGCTGGAATATTGCTGAGTGCGGCGTTAAACAACAAACAAACAATTTAACCCGTGAAGATCCGGGCTACAATAGGTCTTCAGCAACCCATGCTTGCCATAAAAGGGCACCTGAGCGTGTGGTAAGAGGCGAATAACGGGATCGGGTGGTCAGGCTCGCTGATTTGGTTATAGTCCTGCACCATGACCGTGGAATATATTTATTTTATGAAAAAAATAATCTAGAAATGCATACAAAAGCAAGTCTAGTCAGCTCAAGCTCTGAAAGCAGCACAGGGATTTTTATTTTATTTTTAGAGTCAAGAAGGATATTGTGTAATATAAGATTTCAGAGACTAAATGTTAGTCTAACTTGGTTAATACATGTCATCGTATCCCATCGTATGTTCAATCACCGGAGTGCCTGGGCCAGACTCGATTATTTACAAACCGCCGTCATATAGCTGGAATTTTGCTGAGTGCGGCGTTTAACAAATAAACAAACAACCAAACAAATATGATTACTCTCCCGCGCCGTAGGAGTATGATGACATACATTCAAACAAGTCACAGTGTCTGACCACACGATTAGACCTTTATCAAGCGTTGCACAAAATCCGTGTCAATTGCCATGCAACAGCTCCCATCTCTGACTAGGACGACATACTTCGAGGTGAGTACATTAATCCTCAGTTGTAGTCTGCAATATGTTTCAATGCATAACATTTGGACATCACAGGGCTTTCTCTATATATCTCCTATATATGTCAACTCGACAGCTAATCCCGCTTCGCAAGGCGTATCTGTAACTCGACAAGTAAACACGTTTTTTCTCCAGCGTGAGTGGGACGACACATATACCTGTCGTCGAGCGCGCACGCGCGGAGGTATGACGGGGGCGATATTGACCTATAAGATGTTAGCTGGACCTTCTCAAAATGAAGATCGCCACCTGACCCCTGACCGCGATTTGTCGATCTGAAAGTCAACCTCAAGGTGAGTACATTAATCCTCAGTTGTGGTCTGCCATATGTTTCATTGCATAACATTTGTATGTCACAGGGTTTCCTCTTTAGGAAGGCCCCTGTAGCTGACATATTTAGGCCCGTGTTGAATGTGTAGCGTGTGCTACTGCACTGTTCAGCGGGTAGCCTTTGAGTCACGGTTGGCCTGTATGTGACTAATGTATTTATATACTGACCTCACCGTGGTGCATCTAGAGCTATGTGATAGAATAAAGACGCGGGTCGGCTGTAAGTCTCAACATGGACATAGAGGAAATTAGGCAGGTTTGTGCATGCTTGCTTACTTTACTTACTAATAAGGACAATACCGTTGCCAGCGAAGTCGTCCGGATTCACACATGTCTGTATTAGCCCCTTAACATTTATTACAAAAGTGGCTGGCAGTATTTTTCATACAAGCCCTAACAACGATGTGCCTCCATGCGTGTTACGCGCCTTCTACATATGCTTGTCGACCCGTGAAGATCCGGGGTAGAATAGGTCTTCAGCATCCCATACTTGCCGTAGCAGGCGACTATGCTTGTCGTAAGTGGAGGTGGATCGATGCTCATGATATTAATCACTGTGTTGTCTGGTCCAGACTCGATTATTTACACACCGCCTTCATATAGCTGGAATATTGCTGAGTGCGGCGTTAAACAACAAACAAACCAACCAACACACATGCGCTAGTCTGTTATTACCACTCTAGAAGAATTTTTTCCAGTGTATGTCGAGTGAGTGAGTGAACGCGAAGTGCCACGGCTGGTTTTACATAGTGTACCCATGTGTGGAATCAAACCCAGGCCCTTAGAGAGACGAGCGGATGCTTAAAAAAATAACCCCTGTGCTACCCAACTGAAATAACATGATCACCAATGGACCACTGTTTCTATACTGAAGATGCTGGGAGGATATGTTCTTTGTCTGCGAAAGAAGGAGTTGAACAATTTTGTCTTATTTCACATCTAGCATGTCTATCAAAAATATTTTTGAGTATAAAGCCCTTTCTGCAAAAAAGATTTTCACAGTCCCTCTACACGATAATCAAAAGATCCACCCTTTATTGAAGTATGTATATATTTACAGGCCTCTACACGATTATCAAATGGTCCGCCCTTTATTGAAGTATGTATATATTTACAGGCCTCAACACGATTATCAAATGGTCCGCCCTTTATTGAAGTATGTATATATTTACAGGCCTCTACACGATTATCAAATGGTCCGCCCTTTATTGAAGTATGTATATATTTACAGGCCTCTACACGATTATCAAATGGTCCGCCCTTTATTGAAGTATGTATATATTTACAGGTCTCAACACGATTATCAAATGGTCCGCCCTTTATTGAAGAATGTTTACAGGCCTCTACACGATTATCAAATGGTCCGCCCTTTATTGAAGTATGTATATATTTACAGGCCTCTACACGATTTTCAAATGGTCCGCCCTTTATTGAAGTATGTATATATTTACAGGCCACCACGATACAGCTTGAATACCACTGTCTGCAGCTTAAACAACATATAATAGTTACAAAAGTTTTCTGTTGCAGTGTTTTGAAAGATGAGGACATTGACACGGACCCTCCTCATAGTAGTGGTGCTTTCCGTGATTCCATTTTTACTCCTGTATATATACAGTAAGTAACGATGTCTATATCAGTACGTGATCTATAACGGGAAACAGGTGTCCCAGTGGTTTAACTTGCTGTACAGAATTGCTTAACTTGGTTGTTCCAGGATACGATGACAGCTTGATAATGATCCTTGGTTTAGCCAGCAGAAAATTCGTTGGTTTTAATTTGGTGGAAGAGAGTGTACGGGCTAAAACAACATGTCCCACTGTAAGGCAATTGTACCAACCATGGCATGTGATTACAGTGCTACCCAGGTTATGAGATGCAACAGGACCTCTTCCATCCCGGTACTATATGCCCGCAATGCAAATAGGTCCTGCACTTAGCAGAGGGATAGGGGACGTCCTCCTGCCTCCTAAATTCTCGTAATAAATAAAAAATAGGATTATGGGACTCTGCATATACATATATGTTCACAATTATTTTACCTAAACATTATTGTCATTACAAAGGTAACATTAATCAACTTCTTACGTCTCATCTGTTTCAGATTCTACCTCAAGTCCAAACAACAGGTTGGATTCCACAAACAAGGTAACATGGAAAAAAATAGAACGAATTTTAATAGTTATTCTTTATATTTTCCGGGTCACGTGAGTTATCATTCCCATAATTTGCAGTTTAATAAGGGACATATTCGTGGTATCTGTACCCGTTGAGCCCGTGATTAAGTATTAATTGGCCGTTTTCCCATGTTTGTAGTAGGATCCGATTGATAATAATCGCGTGGGTACAATATGTGCCGCGGTTGATTATCTGTCACTGGTTGCGTGAAATCATGTTCTTGTCAACTAATGGTTTGTAATGCCGAACTTTTCTCTCGAAAGCCCCTGTGCTGGTTAACTGAAGTTTTCCACTTACACACATGTGACCATGAAGTTATATAAGGAACGAAGTACCATGACTGTATCTAACAGAAAAGTAAAAATAGCGTAAATTTCAGATGCATACAAATTGCTAATTATCAACTCATTATAAGCATGGCTTGTCGCACTTCCCAATGAAAGGCCAGGTGTGAATGTGGGCCAAATTTATTAACATCACGTAGCTCAAAAGGCAATTGCCTTTGCAAATGACTTTGGAATTGTTTCCCAAAAAATACAGATATTGATTCTTGTGACATGTGGCATGCACACGCCCTGTCATGTAGGACAGATGACGTTCGCTGGTCAGTGAAATCCGTGGGGACAAATGACTGCTTTTCAATTTGTCAATTTGTAAAAAATGAAAGCAAATGCCATCGATCATGAAGCTGACGGAGAAAACAATATGTGAAATGCTGGACTTCCTTATTGATAAGAAGGGGTATGACATTTAGGCAAGAAGAAAGCATCCCCATGTGCACCAAATGCGCTCCCTTTCTTGCTTATCTGTTTCTTAGTGCATATACATCAGAATTTATGCTGAGCTTAACGTATATCGACGAACTATATTAGATCTATGCATAAAGTTGGTTGGTTGGTTGGTTTGTTGTTTAACGCCGCACACAGCAATATCCCGGCTATATGACGGCGGTCTGTAAATAATCGAGTCTGGACCAGACAATCAAGTGATTAATATCATGAGCATCGATCCACGCAATTGGGATACGATGATATGCATCAACAAAGTCAGCGAGCCTGCAGACAACCCGATCCCGTTAGTGGTCTCTTACGACAAGCATAGTCGCCTTTTACGGCAAGCATGGGTTGCTGAAGACGTATTCTACCTACATGTATGCATAAAGATTCAGGGTGACGAAACACTCTCCACAAGACTGTATGAGAAGGCTGTATGACTTCAAGTTTCCCTTTATGTCGAGCATTTCAAAGAGCGCCATAAAACCCTTGCTCAGATCATGTTCGAGCAAGGTTACAACATTCAAGGCCTCGGTAAACGTTTTATGGTAGTGGAGGACATTTCCACATTTGACACTCAGTGACAAAGATGACGATATCCGATGCAATTCCCTATTTTGACTTGTACCATATGTCATCGTGTTTTTGTTTCAGGTTACCAATTGACTTGCCTTAGCATGTGTTTGTGACGGGTGCTACCGGTGGGGGCGGGATACGCTTACCTTTTCTCGAACACCTGTGTCATCACTATTTGACAGTGATTCATAAACACATGCTCGTGATCTATTCAGAATCGCACAATTGACTCGAAACGGTTTTGTCGCTTTTATTTCATTTATTTTGCTCATGTATCAGAGTGAGTGAGTGAGTGAGTGAGTATGGTTTTACGCCGCTTTTAGCAATATTCCAGCAATATCACGGCGGGGGACACCACAAATGGGCTTCACACATTGTACCCATGTTGGGAATCGAACCCGGGTCTTCGGCGTGACGAGCGAACGCTTTAACCACAAGGCTACCCGACCGCCCCTCATGTATCAGAAGACCCTACATATCACAAAGAGCGAAAAAAACCGTTTCCCTCATATCGAGCATGTGTACATTAGTAAATTAATACGTAATGGAAGTGATTTAATACACAAGGTTTGGGACTTTGCACATCAAATAACTCTTCAAATCAATTAGTGAGTGCGTGAGGAAATAATTATCGTATAACGTACATGTAGCTCTCTTCAATACAATATACCAGCTACATGCTGCGACATATAAATAATCGAATCGCTTAACGTCCCACACCGTCAAGGTACGATGATATTCAATCAACCATGTCACCGAAACCCTAGCCAATAAGTCATCTATTATGACCAGCAATACAATTTGGCGAGACCCGTGAAGATCCGGGGTAGAATAGGGCTTCAGCAACCCATGCTTGCCGTAAAAGGCGACTATGCTTGTCGTAAAAGGCGACAAACGGATCGGGTGGTCAGCCTCGCTGACTAGGTTGAAGCATGTCATCGATCCCAATTGCGTGGATCGATGCTCATGATGTAAATCACTTGATTTTCTGGTTCAGACTAGATTATTTACAGACCGCAGTCATATAGCTGGAATATTGCTGAGTGTGGCGTAAAACAACAAACATACAAACAGCAATTTGACGAACCCAAACGGGCACTCATCAATGCAATTTTACTTTACCAGTGTTAGCACAAAACTCAAGAACATTGCTATGCGAGTCTAATATATGTAGCGTTGTATAGTTTGTGTCTCGATACTAATTTGTCTGAACGTCTATATCTTCCCCAGGAACCAACATTCCCACTTCGACCAGCCATGATAGAGCAACAGAGGACCAGACACGAACTCATCACCAAACACTGTCAGTCCGACCCTCCCGGAACGGCAACAAGCGTTGTGATCGACCCACGATCAATGGTGTCCTTCTGTCAGAGCCACAAGATCGCGTCAACGTTTTGGCTGCGGGTGTTTCACTTCCTCCACTATTACAACCCCGAATACAACATCACCCGCTTTAACCCGTTCACTGTGAGCAAGTACGATGTTCACCTCAGCCCCAAGAAACTCAGGTTATACAACCTGTACAACGCAGAGAACAGAAACTTAATTTTTATGACAACACGGTTCATGTTTGTTAGAGAACCATACACAAGACTCTGGTCTCTGTTCCTTGACAAATTTGTGATCCTTGATAAATTCTTCCTCCAGACCTTCGGTTCTCTGATTCTTAGAAGAAAAGGGCACCATATCAAGAATCCATTCAAAATGTGTCGAACGGATTACAGTACTGTGTCTTTCCAGGATTTCTTGGATCTTATTGTGCATTGGGACAACGAGACTCAGGGTGCGATGGATGATCATTTTGGGACTGTTATGGGTCATTGCAGTCCATGTAGGTTTAAACCTAATTTTGTTGGTAAACTGGAAACGTTTGATTCTGACAGTAAATATATACTGCAGCTACTTGGTCTAAATGGCTTTGTTAAAGTCATGGATCAGACAGATCATGTTCTGGAGGAGATGCGCATGCTTGTCGACTATAATTATCTAGTCTTTGAACGAAACTTTAAGTCATGTTTCGTGCATTGTGTAAAACGACTTTTAGACGCTTTTCAAATGAATGGATACCTGAGCAGAAGGTCTGTAGAGAGGTTAAAATCAAAACTTCCTTTGTCCAAACTGATCTTAACAAGGGAGATAACCAGTGAGTACCAACACAGCAATCGAACTTCTAGTCAAATGACAAAAGCAAAACGTCAATGGAAAGTTCATGCATATGGGAAAATAAGAAGAGATACACTGCTGGCAATAGAGCGAATTTATGAAAAGGAGTTGCTCACATTTGGGTACGATCCTTACCCAAAGGATGTCTTCCAGTAGATCTTCAGACCGCCGTCAAATAGCTGGAATAGTACGGCGTTAAACAACAAACAAAATAAACAAGAGTTTGCCACTAACGTGGCTATATCCCCCGCCCCTGTTGCAGAATTTATGACATAATTAAATCTAAACAAACCCTAACCTTTTTTAACCGAGGTGGAATTTGTCATGGAAATTGTAAAAAAAAGAAGAGTTTGGAACCAAAGTCCATCTTGCTGCCATGGAAACGTCAAAAATGAAAAGTTCTAATTTTTCTAAATAGCAAAAGGCACCAGTTCAACATGTACTGGACAGACCTGCAAAGTTTGGTGAAAAAATATCGAACGGTTTCTGAGTTATGCTCCGGAAATGAAACGTGACGTACGAACGGACGGACGGACGGACGGGGCCCGTTTCTATATCCCCCGCCAACTTTGTTTGGGCGGGGGATAATTAATATTTCATACCCCGGATGCAGAAACGAAACAAAGAAATACTGAGGGCGTAGTTTCTTTGCAAACTTCTCGTGATACTTTGTCAAGCTTGCCAATTATTCATGACCATGTTTGAATCAAATTAAAAACATTGCTACTTACCTTTGTTCTCTCTCTTTACGTATAATCTCAAAGGCATTGGGTCGTCGATCCCAATTGCTTGGATCGATGTTCATGTCAATCACTGGATTGTCTGGTCCAGACTCGATTATTTACATACAGACCGCCGTCATGACCATGATTTTCATGATTTTGTCTCTTGTTTTCTTAAATAGGTGTGATGGGTCAGGCAGGAAAACGAGCGGATGGATGCTGCAGAAGTGGTTCCGTATGGACCTCAGAACGTCTGTGGGAGAATTTTTGAGTGAGTGAGTGAGTTAAAATTTTAAGTCACATCGGCAATATTTCAGCCATATCGTGACTATCATAAGTTAAATATAATACATATATTGAAACGTATGTAAAAACCTGTCAACGAGGGACAGTAAAACAACTAGACTTATCACAGCAATAAATTTAAAACTAGTATGTAATCATAAAATCAATAGCACTATACATATACATTAAATTTTAAAAACAGGCTATAGATCGCCAGCAACTGAAGGTAGATCACCATACTAGGGACCATGGGGACTTACAGTACCTTTGCTACCTGCATGGACCCTAGCAGGATTTACATCATCCCATCAGTCGTTGGCGATTGTACATAATTTTAGCCACAATTAAAATGACAGAAATTCTACGTTTAAAAGCGTAGTAAATGTAAATATTCCTTGAATGACAGGGACTTATGATACCCTCTCAGGGGGACAATAATTTTACAGTACTTTAACCCCCTTCGAGGATACTGCCACTAACAATCTCAGATATAAATTCATTCTACTAATGTTAAAAAGTTATCATACACAAAACATATTAAAATTTATGATACAATTCAATTTCTTTAAAAAAAACAATAACTAAATGAGTACTCGTAGTATTAAAAAGATCCTTAATAGTTTTGACCTGGAAATATTTATCCCTTGTGATGGAAAAATCAACACAGTCAAGCAAGGAGAATTTTTGAAGTGCATCTTAATGAATGATCGATTGCTCGATGCCCCATCAAGTGTACAGGACATGAAATCCCCATTTCTCCAAGGAATGCACAACATCCCAAAACATGGAATAAATTTGGGGTCCTGTTGTCTGGGAAGTGGGGTAGTGGGCTACAAGAAATCTGAACCCAATTAAACCATGAAACATAAACTGCATTACATGGTTCGCAAGATGCTTCTGATCAGATGTGGTTGAGAAAGATTCTGCCTCAACCCCTGTATCAGTAAAGCCAACAGGGTGGCAACCACCATGTTTTCGAACAAGCTGAATATCCTCCTGAATCGACATCTCATCCATCATTTGTCCACCAAAGTAACCAGCAGGAGGTATGTGGTCATGCTGTGCTTGCATACACATCCAGTTCAGCATGTCGTTATTTATTCCCGAGGTCGGCTCCACGGAACATTTGATTCGGGTAAGTGTACTTTCAGATAGCAGAGGAAGACTTCAACTCTTTGAAAGCTGTTGGTAAACCCTTGAACTTCGGTTGGTTGGTTTGTTGTTTAACGCCGAACTCAGCAATACTCCAGCCACATGACGGCGGTCTGTAAATAATCGAGTCTGGACCAGACAATCCAGTGATTGATATCATGAGCATCGATCCACGCAATTAGGATCGATCGGGTCCAGATGGATAAAGCCAGCTGTATGAGATTGTTATGCCACTTTCGAGAATGAGGATCAACTAGAAATTGTGACTCCATCAACAGAGTCTGTGCAGCAGTTGGGCATGGTGCTTTTTTGTCTTGATGAAATCCATCATATCCTTTGGGGTGTACTGTTTAGCAGTATCTGGTGAGACATCTGATGAGTCATCATAAACACTTTCATATAGATATCTCCATGCACAACATGCTGTGATTGATTTCCATGACCTGAAGTGCAGAACTTTTTGACACTTAATGGAGTAAGCTACTAAGTTGTTATCCTTGTTTCTTTGAAGTAGGATATTTTCTTTGTCCACAATGACTTCTGCAGCTTCAACACACTGGCAGTACCTGGCTGTCTTAATTAGAGAAAACAGACTACAAAGGGATTGAGTGTTAACTTCAAAGTAGTGTAAGCCAAAAATGTCATAAACATGAGTATTACCCACAAACAATCTGAGGCTTCCATTGATGTGCAGAGCGGCTTCAACATACACTTTGTTAACATTGCAAACAAGACCAGTGTCTACAGATAGAGTGATGGATTTGTCATCTTTCATTAAAACAAAAAAGTCATCAGACAAAATATTTGCTATATTTTCAAATGAACCTGATTCTGTATCATTATTGTGTTCTTTCAGCCCTTTATATACAGGGACATTTTTTTCCACGCAAGTTGGATTGATGACATGCATCAACCAAGTCACCGAGTTTGACCACCCGATCCCGTTAGTCGCCTCTTACGACAAACATAGGGGCGTATAGTTTTACATAGAGCAATATCGAGTTCCTGTGGTCTGGCCCTGTCAAACTTCTTTTGGAATGAGCTATATTTGGTCTCTGACTTTCGCAGGTATTAATACCAAGATTCTTTACTGACAGTCGTTAAAATGTTGCTAATACAAACTTAGATGCATGTAAAACACAAAGGACAAAAAACCCCACCTGCCTGCAACAACAGTATTTATCATATTGTTTACGACGATTTGCGTAAACAAGGTAGGTCAAGTGATTTTAGAGGCGACTGAACATACCATACTCGGTGGCATGTTTTGATGTTATGGTGGGCCAGAGACCGACTGACGGTTGATTGCGTCCCCAACCTGTTGCAATGAGCAATTAGCTTGGAGTCAAGCATGGTCACTAAAATATCTGGCAAACTGGGAATGAATTCTTTTTGATATTCGGGTCATTGTTTTCACATATTTACCTCGTCCAGAGTAATTATCAATTACCCGTACCTATTATAATCGTTCGTTTTATTATCATTTATTTTTATCATTATTCATTCGATTTTTGTATCAGAGCTAGCAGAGTAACCAAAGGCTCTATTTTGTTCAAATTTTGTATGTGTATGTAGACGATGTCGACCGTTGAGTACTAGATTCCGCCAGAATCCCAGATAACTGAAAAACAAGTAAAGTTTGAAGCTATATTTTGCCCTATTGCTCCACAACCGCTGTTCAGATTACTAAAGAACACACTGGGACACATGTGGTGATGTCTGGCAAGCGATTACTTACGTTTGACAGCGTTGGTTCAAGCGAGCCATATGCGGGTTCGAACATGGACGGCGTCTGAAATAGGTTTAGAACATCCCGGGACGTTCTGCGGCACGCCAGTTTCGTAGCGGCGATGTCTCGCAAGTGTTTCCTTACTTTTAGCGGCGTTGATACAAACAAACCATTTTGGGATTGGAATATCGGAGATGTCGAAAACAGGTTTAGCACTTTATCTGAGCAAAGCTGTAGAACACTATCGATTTAATATTATTATTATTATTCCGCCGATTTTTGTACCAGAGCTAGCAAAATAACCACTGGCTCGATTTTGTTCCAATGATTTTTGTACCAGAGCTAGCAAAATAACCACTGGCTCGATTTTGTTCCAATTTTGTATGTGTATATAGACCTATGAGTACTAGGTTTCGCCAAAATCCCAAGCCCCTAGGCCTAGTGACAAAGGACAGATAACCGAAAAACAAGTAATTTTTGAAACTACATTTTGCCCTATTGCTTCGCAACCACTTGTCCGCTTGTTTACTTTCAAACTTTGGATGTGTCTGCTGCTTTGGATGCTTGACATTTCTTTTTTCATTTCATTGATCACGTGGTTTGGCAGACATATTGGATTTAAGGTTTTCACAGGTTTTTTAGGTATATGTCTTCAAATTCTAACTCCTCTCAACCCACTGCATGAAATGATTTAAGACTTTCTTGTCTCCATACATAACACATCAAACCCTGTTCTGGACATCTTTTTTAGTTGCGGCCATACTGGATTCAGGGTTTTCACAGTGTCTTTTGGGTACCTGTCTTCAAATGCATACTCCTCTGAATCCATTGCATGAAATGCTTTCACATTTTCTAAAACAATTGTCTCCGTACATAACACATTAAACTTTTTTAGCCGATTTTGGATATCTTTTATAGTGATGGCCCTATTGGATTTTGATTTTGATCATATTTTTCATCGAAAGTTTACTTTTAAGATCATATCTTGTAAAGTTCTCCACAGAAACTATTGCAAGTTTACACGAAGTTAGTGTGCCATATGCATCCTATTGTTTGTTCTTGGTTGTATGCTAGTAGCACTGCTTGGTGGTAATATTCGAATAATATTTGGAACACACCAATTTCGTAGCGTCGATTTCCGGCGACTAAGTTTTGACGGAGTTGGTACATGCAAACCCTTTGAGGATTCGAACATGTTCGAGGTCGGAATGGCTTTAGAACATACTTGGACACCCCGGCACACGACACTTTCGTACCGGTGATACCCTGCAAGTGGTGCCTACATTTAACGGATTTGGTACAAGGAAACCCTTTGAGGATTCGAACAAGGACGTTTGTGCGCAGTGTTACTTGGAGCCCGCCATGGCTGCTTGCAACTGTAATTGAATTTGTTTTCTTTCGCCTGGAAAAAATGGAAAAATCAGGGGTCGTGAATTGGTTATTTGACCAAGTTCAGTAAAAATATTTTTATATCAAAAATAATAATACTGATAACACTAGTGTGATCAGAACTTGATACTGACCAATCAAACATCTGTGTTTAATAACAGTAAAAGTGATTATGTGCAGCATTGGTTTGAGTTCAGTAATTTATTTTATATTGACTATGAATGAAGTCTAATTATCAATTTCCATTAGCAAACATTTCATGTAGAGTATAAAATAATGACGGAGTATCTCTGTCATTCAGAAGCTGTGACCTTACCACGAAGAGCGAACGATGATGAGAATGCTGACGTCTGGTGGTTGGGTTGAAAGATGTGCACGTGGGACAAATCTAGGAAAACAGATCAGACATCACTCTGTGTCATACAAAGTGAGTTATTCAAATATGTCCTGATT